GAAGCGATTTTCGGCCTCCTCCAATTTGTGGTTTTGCGTCTGAATATTTTCCAAGAAATGGAGGGACCTACAGTTAATACTAAGCCGCCTTCGAACGGCTAGTGGTTTTTTTATGACGAGCCTTTATTTCATGTCAGAAATACACTCGGAGGGGTTGACATCCCCAGCTGAGGGGCGATCACAGCAAAAAAAAATTTAACTTAACTTTTTATTGAAATTAATTTTCTATATCTTTTGGTTGTTGGTAGTACCAGGAGTTGAACCCGAGTCTTCCGAATGTTAGTACGCAATGCTAACCGCTCGGCGGCCACACGCTTATGCCCCATATAATAAGTCAGGCACAAGGGTGTATGGTCTTTTTGTTCATCAAGAGAGATCCTTATTTTTCAATACTTTATTAATGTAACGGATTGGATTTCAAAGGTGGACGTCGTTGATGGTTCTATGTTTACTATCAGGAGTGACGAAAAATCCAAGATACAAGTTCGCTGGACTGCCAGTTCTATGGACTTTGCTCCCCGGTATGGTATTGAGAAAGCAGAGCTGAAGATAGAGATGCGATCATAAGCATCAACCTAGCGGTTTATATTGGTCCTTTTCTCGCTGATCTTTGTATTTTTCTATATTTAATGCATTTTCAATATTTGCTTAACTTTCCATAAGAAAATTGAGCTACAATCCTCGATTGTAGAGATATTGTCAGCAATCGATTCAGGTTTCGAGTTGCTCACACCAAAAGTTTCTGTTCAAAGCACTGCATGTCTTGCTGGGGATAATAGCAGTGATGCTTTCAATGATAACGTCCAGAGCTCACTAACGTAATTTATTAGACTACAATACCAGATAGAACTAAGATTGCTGGCGTTCGATTGATGGAACAGAATATGATAGTATAATAAAAAAGAATTAATCGTCAGTTTTATATTTTTTTTTTTTTAATTTTTTTCTATAATTATTTCTTTTTTGATTTTTTTTTTAAATCCTTACACGCCCCTGAACGATATTTTCAATACAAATAAAAATGCATTTTACCAATATTCCTCATTTGTATGCATTTTTAGCCACCATTGTGAAGCTTACAATACAGGAAATGTTAAGAAAGTGTGCTTTTTATCCGAGTTTCCCACCGTTTCTTCGTTGAACTGGTCGATTGCATTCACCACTTAGCAAATACGCATTCGCAAAATAAATTTAACACCAAACTGAATTTGGCAGTAAAATAAATTACATTAAAAAGTATAGAAACATAGCCGATTAATGCTGCAACTACCCATCTTACATACCTTCCGTCCATAGCAACCTATCTTATGATAGCGTCATGTAAATGAAAAGTTGTCACCGCTTGCCGATGCCGTTACTGAAGGGTTTCCCCGCAGAAAATAATCGTGTTTGTACATTCTATTATAGTCGGGTGTTATGGCTGTGCAGTAGGTAAGATGGGTAATTGCAGCATAGGCACTTCGAAGCTTTTTTGCTGGCTCCACCATTGCCGTACATTTTCTTGAAATGACTTCATATTTGATAGTTTCCAAAGAATCTATTATAATTATTATATTTATTATATAGTGTTATCTCTGGTGGTGCCATGAATTTGCATCTTCTCGTTATTATAGATGCTCTCACATTATTATAGATTATCTGTAGTTTCCACCAAATTATGGAAAATAATTATGGGAGTCTTTGGATTTTACCCCGATGTGTAGATGTCGCTGGTGTCGCAGAGTATGGTGAAATAAGATTTTTCGTACAAGGGTTTGCACAGCTGTGAAAAATATATAAATCTCAAATAATGCTATTTTCTCCTTTAGTATTTGCATTAGTAGAATTTTCAAACGTTATATTTTTCATATTGTTGCGAAAATGCGAGGCGAATGTCAGATGAAAGAGAGAAGCCGATAACTAGTACATTCTAAACGAGAACCTTCGATAGCGAACAACTCGATGATTCTACACTTTCGTCTGCGAGCAGCCGACTGATATATAAGGGCGACACTCAGCTGCCAAGTCAAGTTAGTTATAAAGTGAGCTCGTTGGCGTTAACATCAGTAAAGTCGTAAAGTCAACACGTTGGAGATTACATTTAAGTAAAGTAAATTGTGAAAGTTACGCTAGTGATTGTAAATAGTAAAGTGCATTGCAATTGAATAGTGAATTACTGAGTAAATAATGGGCATTAGATAAATTCTTTGTAACGAAAGAAACTGCAAATTAAGTTGGCGAGTTTTATTTAACAATCCAGAGATCGTACCCGAAGGATTCAGAAAATCATCGAGGTTGATTTAGCAAAATCGTAACAATATATATAGATTTTTTTTTAATATATAAATAATAAATAAGATTCATTCTGCTCTACCTAGCTTACTGATTAGATTCCGTTTAAATTGAAAACAGCACATTTAATACTTTTTAATTTTGTGTTTATAACGAATATAGAGTATATGGATTAATAGGCTGCTATTTAATAGAATTTAATAAGAAAAACGGCTAAAAATTTTTTAACATCATCCAGTGTCAAAGCGTGGGAGAAGTCGTACAAAAACGCTTGTTGGAGTTGGCCCTCCGACATACTTGGCCAACTATCACGTCAAATCAACAACAGAAACGTTTAACGAGTTAGCACGCGGCATGTTACGCGAAGAAGAACAAGTGTACGTACTAGCGACAGCATCGTATGCGAACATTATGGACAGCGTACGAAATCGGGGATTCCGCTAAGCAGTAGAGGGTAGAAGAATTAGCAAACAGTTACGATATTATCCGTAATTCAATCTTACGAGCGATACCAGAGCTACTGACGTACAAGGCGCTCGTATAGTTCCATAATAATAATCGGCACTGGCAGGAATGGGTTGCGTTTAAAAGGGACTTCCTGAAGTTCTTCTTGAGCTCGCGGTATTTCGAGCATTTGGATGATGAGATCCAACGACGCGTCCAGCGACCATGTGAGCTACAAGAACTTATGCGGCACGCAAACTGCTCGGCCGTAAAGAAACTAAGCCGTATTTATCGTAATTCTCGCCAGCTGTATGTGAAGAGGCATGAGTTCTGCAGTTTATAGGAGTTGCTAGATCTCGTTGAAGATTTCGAGAGCATTCCACCGAGAGAGAGAGCCGTTAAGGCCAACAGCCAGGCCGTTTGAATCACGACAACGAGAAGAACGTAATCCACGACCAGAAGAGAGAAGAGCGGTACCAGTTAATGAACGTGGACGAAAGCCAGGAAGAGGGATATTGGTACCCACCCAGTTACGAAAGACGAGAGCAACCCAGGAGGGTTAAGGACACTATAAGAACAAGTCGACAAAATGGAGAAGAACGCTACCAGCACGTACATGAAGACCGAAACCAGGATACACCAAGGAGAGTGGGGCGCTAACCTGACATGCAGGCAAGTTACGTAGAGCACCAGAAAGCATGTAGACGGTGTGAAAAAGCAGGGCATTTCGCGCACGGCTGTCGCAGCATGATTATGAAAAAGTTTTATTGGAGATGCGGACGTTGCGGCAGCGTAAAGAGAAGGTGAACCGCAAATGGATCAAAGAGAATACGGCGAGGATGAAAGAATTACATGAGAAAAGAAATCAAGAGAAAGAAAGCAAGGTCACAAGTCGAATATTTACCGGAGACTTTAATAAGCGATATCGAGGCACACGTTCAACAACCACAACAACGGCGAATGAGACAGTCATTTAAGCGAATCATTGAGGGTCGCAGCTACACTATCCGGATAACCCGAACGGGTCTGGTGACGGTGAGTCTAATTTCGGCAAACGAGAGGAGCGTGTAAGGACCCCAAAATCTTAGATGTTGGAGCCCTTACAACAACCTAAGAAAAATATGTATGTACATATATAAGTAATTATGAAATGTACATACATACATTCTACGAGTATATGTATACATATACATACATATATATATAAGAAAATATTTTAAGTGCACACCCAACATGTAATTATATACATACATATGTACATACATACATACGTACACATTTTATGAATTCCGCTTTATACATATTCGCTTTGCTTGCAACGTATATTAATTATTAATTATTAACAAACGTTCTTTGACATATCTAAGCAACCTCTTTTTAAAGATATTAAACAAATCATCAAAGCAACGTTGCACCCTACGAAATTTCACCATGTTGGCTGTCTAAATTTATATTCAACACAGAGTAACCATTGTCAAATACATGGGCTGCTCTCAGCTGTTAGCTGATTTCGTAAAACATCTGATAGCTTTCATACTCCTCTATACTATGGTTGCAATAAATAAAATGGCCAAGGCGAAATACAAACTACATAGGGATACCGGTAAGGAATTGTATTTTTAGATAATGGCAGTGATGTTGAAGGTACAATGAAAAATTGAAAACAAATGCTAAATGTGAAATAACGAATGACAAATTATTATTATATTTTATTTTGTTGAAAATGTTACGTGCAAATATGTACCGTATCACACACAGTTTATTTCAGAGAACGTAAATACAATTATTATTGTTTACATTCTCTGCTGAGGTTACGTACCAAAAAATGTACGCTATATCTACAAAATATGCTGCGCCTGAAGTGTGGCAAAGCAAACGCATGCAAGAGTACTTTTTTTTAAAGTTAAACAAATCAAGTAAATACTTACCACATTGGGGCAGCTGCGGAATATCTAAAGCAGCTGCTCCATTAATAATGTCAATTAGTTTTTCTATTTCGAAGATGCGTGGCATTCTAAACCAAAAATTCTAAACTCCTCTTCATTGGAAAGAGTTTGACACTTTAAATCAGCTGTGTTATTTGCTATGAAATATGAAACAGTTTTAAAATATTTACATATATGTAATGAAAAGAAACTGATAATTTCTTTCGTGAAGCTTCATACGTTGCCAAAGCCTAGACACTTTAGTGAATCTCACGTTAATCAGCCACGGAATACGGACACGTTCATAGGTGCCACCGTTATATTAAATCTTTATTTTTAACATCTGGCAGCACTAAAATGTCAAAAATTACTTTTCTATTCTGTTGGTCATACTGAAAATTGCAGCTGCTCGATTATTTTCACACGCAAAAAAAATTGAGCTATTTAGTAATTGAAAAATCATTGCAGAACAAACTTTAAATAAAACTGAATAGGTGAATATAAATACAACAGAAATATTGGTTCGCATACAACAATTTCTTGGCTCTATTACCAGCGGTGGTATTCTCGAAGCGAAGGTCAAGCAAAGTAAATTTGCTAAAAACGCGCAGATACGAGCAAAACAAAGGGATTGACGTGTGCTGTTCTACGACGGTAGTGTTCATTTCGGGAAATTCGAAACATTTGTGTATACAGATATATTTTGAATTTATAGGTTGTGATGGAATAATTATTGATATAAAAATCACGCTGAACTGCTGACGCAATGGATGATAATTCGCAAGATATTTGCCGCGTGTGCCGCTGTGAGGCACAGTCGGATCGCCCACTCTTCTATCCTTGCATATGTACAGGCAGTATTAAGTACATACATCAGGACTGCCTAATGCAATGGATGCGTTATTCCCATAAAGAATATTGTGAACTATGTGGACACCGCTTTAGCTTCCAGCCCATATATTCGCCTGATATGCCGCGTGTGTTGCCATTGCGTGATGTGGCAGGTGGCTTATTATCTGCTGTGGCCAAAGCAGCCAAATCATGGTTCCATTATTCTTTGGTTGGCTTGGCTTGGTTCGGTATAGTACCATTATCTGCTTACCGTACATACCGTTATTTGTTTCGAGCTTCATCATTCGACATGATACTATCAATGCCTTTCGATGTTTTTTCTACAAACAATTTGGCCTCCGATGCATTCCGCGGCTGTTTCGTTGTGACTTGTACATTGCTTTCGTTTATCGGTTTGGTTTGGCTACGCGAGCAGATTTTACATGGTGGTGGACCGGATTGGTTAGAGCGAGATGATGCACCAGCAGCAGTTAATGAAGGCGACGAACAGCAACGCCCCGAAGGGAACGTAGGTGTTAACAGAGAGGCAGCTGCTGCAGCTAATGTCGTTAGAGAAGGTGATGGTGGTGATGCACCAGCACCAGACCCCGCAGCCGCACGTGTTGGTGTTGAAGTTGCTGATGCTGACGTACAAGCTAATATCGGTGAAGATAGTGACAATGAGGATGCACCAATTGATATGCCAATGAATAACGCTGCACCCGCTGCTGTTGATCCAGCAGAGGAAGAAGGTGAAATACCGCTGGTGTTTGGTCCGCGACAACAACCTCTACCCGGCGTTGGCAATAATAATGATAACGCTAATGCTGTGGGTGATGAAGCTGGTGCGGCACCAGCAGGTGGTGCTGCAGCAGCAGGTGGTGGTGCCGCCGCTGAAAACGATAACGACAACGACGAACCAAACTGGAATCCAATGGAATGGGATCGAGCAGCGGAAGAACTGACTTGGGAGCGTTTGCTTGGCTTGGACGGTTCTTTAATCTTTCTCGAACACGTGTTTTGGATAATCTCATTGAATACCTTATTCATCGTTACATTTGCATTTTGTCCATACTGCATCGGCAATTTCATACTCAGTTCGATGGACTTACTACAACCAGATAAGCCACTGTTACACTTTCATGGACTCATCACCACACTCTTCGGCTACTGCTTCATTGGCCTGACTTTGGTTGTGCTACATTTCTTTGCGCGTCTATTTCGTATGCGACGTGTGCGCGTGCTTATCGGTCTGTGCTATATAGTGGTTAAAGTGTCATTGCTATCTGTGGTTGAAATCGGTGTGCTACCATTGGTATGCGGTTGGTGGTTGGATATTTGTTCATTACCACTTTTTGATGCCAGCATTAAGGATCGTAAGGTGAGCTTCAAAGCAGCACCCGGCACCTCACTTTTTGTCCACTGGATGTTTGGTATGGTCTACGTTTACTACTTTGCCGCCTTCATCTCCCTACTGAGGGAAGTTTTGCGTCCTGGAGTACTCTGGTTCCTACGGAACTTAAATGATCCGGATTTCAGTCCCATACAGGTACCCAAAAACAGTTCGGAATGGTAACCATACAACTCATATAGTTTTTAATTTGTTTTTAGGAAATGATTCATTTGCCAATACTACGTCATGTGCGACGCCTAATTGCTTCTGCAATGATTTTTGGTTCCGCTGTTCTTTTGATGCTTTGGCTACCCATACGCATACTAAAAACGATTTGGCCATCATTTTTGCCCTACACTTTATCAGGCGACTCTGAAGTGAATGAATTGAGTTTACAACTTCTGCTACTACAAGTGAGTATACATGTACATATCTATATGATGTGTCTGAGTGAACCACAAACTTTTTTATATTACAGATCATTCTTCCTGGCTTCTTTGAACAATCACATACACGCGTCTGGCTAAAGGGTTTACTACGCATTTGGTGTGTATGTGTCTCCTGGGTACTGGGCCTACGCAGCTATTTACTCGGCACTGACCAATCCAACACAGATGCTAATAATCCAGGTAATGGTGCAGCTGGAGCAGGAGCTGCCGCCGCTGAACCCGCACCCGATGCTGGGGCCAATAATGATGCAGCGCCAGGTGTAGCCCAGCCAAATGCAAATGATAATCCAGCAGCCAATGCAGCCGAACAAGTAGATGCTGCTGCACCACGAGTGCAAGCGGGACCGGCTCCCGCTTTGCCTATACCACGCGAACGCAATTTAGGCGCAGTTCACCAGGCCATTATACAACGTGATGTGCCAGTCGGCTTTCAGCCATACGATCGACCCACCTTCTTCCCTTTGCGTCTCTGTGGTCTACTACTTTTTATGTGCATTTCATTGGTAATCGCTTCGGTGGTAACATTGACAGTGCCAGTTTGGATTGGTCGCCAAGTGATGGCACTATGGTCTGTAGGCGGTCATTTCACAAATCAAGTAGTTTCACAAACGCCTGAGGTATCACCAAGACCACATGAACTTTACACTGCTGCATTGGGCACTTATCTTTGCTGGATCATTTCACGCGGTGTTGCTATTGCCGTCAACCTGTTGCCACAGGGTCGTGCTGCAGTTGTAGATAAAATTAAACATTGGCTACGCGTGGGCGCCTCATACGCTCTACCTGTGCTCATTTTTGTACTCATGCTTGGTGTCATACCGCTTTTGTTTGGCCTGCTGCTTGAGTTGGTGGTGGTGATACCGTTGCGTGTGCCCTTCTATCAAACGCCCATACATTTCTTGTGGCAAGACTGGGCACTGGGCGTACTCTACACGAAAATCGCCATTGCTTTGACACTAATGGGTCCCGATTGGCATTTGAAACGTGCGCTCGAGCGTGCTTATGGCGACGGTTTGCGTGATATTGACTTGAAATTCCTAATACGCGAATTGGCAACACCTGTTATCACCTGTTTCGGTTTGGCGCTTGCCATACCATATGTCATCGCTCACTCCATATTGCCCTTATTCTTTAAGAACTCTGTAACGCGTTTAGAGATCTCACGCATTGTCTATCCTGTATTCTTTATCATTGTCGTGGTGATTGCCTACATATATTTCGAAATTAAACAATTCAAAAAATTATATGTCGCCATTAAAGTGGATAAATATTTGGTGGGTCAGCGGCTGGTGAACTATGAGCATCGCAAACGAAAACAAGAGGCTGAGGCAGCTGAAGCGGCTGCAGCAGCTTCATCAACCACAGACAATGCAGAAGCCCACAAAGATGAGCCCGAAGAGGCGGCCATTAATGCAGCAAGCATATTGGAGCGTGAAGAATTGGAAATGCGACGGAGAGAAGCTGCGTTGGTGGAAGATCTGGTGCGGGATGATTTGTTATAATGTCAGCAACAGCAAGAACAGCAGCTAAGTTGCTGTTCATAAAGAGACGAAGTTTAGAAATATACCAACGTATCCGTACGTGAACACCATTTCCGATATGAAATTAGAATTTTGCGGTCAACTCCGCCTGCTTACTGATTTTTCAAAAAAATACGACTAAATTAATTTTTGTTAAGCAGTGAGTAAACAATTATACGCAAATAAAGCCATTCTAGACTCCATGAAATGAACGCAATGCCGCAAAATCTGTATAAAATTGCCTTAAAAATTTATCTCCGCAATAAGTCTTCAAAAATTTGATTCTATAAATAAATTTCAAAATTTTATAGTGCGATACTTTCGAAACTAATTCTAATTTCAATTTGGAAATGGTTTGATTGGGAATTTGTATGCGCACGAGCTATGAAAGCTTTGTGATTTCTAATTATGTACGAGCGTATCGTGCGTAAAGAGAAGAAAATAAGGGCGTATAATGTTAATGGGGTATACAAAAAAAAAAACAAAAAAAAAAAAACAGAAAATAGCATACGAAACTAATTAGTAAAGATAATAAGCGAAAATTAAAAAAAAAAAACACAAAAACTAATTTACAAACAAAACATGGAAATATGTTCAAAAAATCATAATTTTTCTATATTTAAAAGGGATAACATTTTTTTTTATTTAATTAGCAAAAATTATTTTAAAATAATTATTTCACGAAACCATTGTTAAGAAAGTTATGAAGAAAAAAATATTTTATAACTGAATAATTATTATTTTACTAACTCGTCAAATTTTTCCTATCTTTTGAGAACAAAAATGTTAATATTTCAGTAGTTTAGTGTTTAGATATTAAAAATTTATTTTTTTTTAAATTAAATTCAGTACAATATATGCATATATGTACGTATGTATGTATGTATGCATGTATTTGATGTTTAATTTTGCGCTATTTGATTGGATAATTGTTGAAAAATTATTGAATGCTCTTATTTACTAAAACATGCAACAATATACACATACATACAACTGCATATATGTATATGTAACTATTTACATATATTGTATTTAGATAAAAAAAATCCATTAAATTTCTACTCGTTCATACATTTGTTCAAAATTTCACCCACTTTGGTATTACAAAACGGTATTGTGAGACCAATTTTTTTTTTGAAAAATTCTCAACACGGAATGTTTTTTTTTTTTTAATTAAATTTGAATTAAAATAACCAGATATAAGACTAGAATTAATAAGACATAAATCAATTAATAATATGTACATATATATGTATGCACATGAACCGTCTGGAAGGTTCATATTTAAAATGAAATATAATATAAAAATACAAGATTTCTTACAAATCTGTGTTCTTATAAATGTATGTCCATACATACATACTTATATTTGAATTTTCGGCTTTAACTGAACGTCTGTCTTTCGCAACAAATCGAAGTATGTAACTGTATTGATTGCAATTTAAAGAATTGCTATATATGTATATGTATGTATGTATGTATAAACTAAGATACGAACAAATTTGCGAATAAATAAAAGACATAAAGAAATTGCAAAAATATTTTTTTCCTTATATGTATGTATGTAAAAATATTTAAAATACATGGTTTAGCCAAAGCAATCTATGGGAAGAATACTGGGCGCTTGAGTACTTTCTTAAAATCTTTGGTAAGCTGAAATGAGATGAATTAATTCATACATTGAAGACCCTTAACACTTGGAGGAATACATATGTGTTGTATGTGTGGCAATATATTGCGCGAAAACCGATATTAATTACACTCAAGATTAGGGCCCCAAAGTCGTCTCTTTGGATGTGTGCATAAGTTCGTGCCCGAATTCAAGTGCAAACTAAAATTGAAATTTTTTGAAGAAAGCGCTTTTATTAATCAATTATGTATTCGCCATAATGTTCGGCAATCCACTCCCAATGTTCAACCAATTTACGGATGCCTGATTCATAGATCACGCCTTGGATATCCCACCAAATGCACAGCAGTACCTTCATCGGATGCAATCCACCCTTCGACATCGGTTCCGCCCATTCGTGTGCCTGTTTCCATGTTCATTTGCGTTGAACATTGTTTTACAGGATCCATTTTTCATCACCAGTCACGAGCCGATCCAAAAAAGGTTCGTTTTTGATCCGTCGAAGTAAAGAAATTGCTGTTGACATACGGTCCACTTTGTTTTTTCACTCCACCGATGTGGCACCCATGTATCGAGCTTCAAAGTGTACCCAACCTTTTTTAAACGACGAAACGCAGTTGATTTGTTGACGTTCAATTCACTGGCAACCTCTTCCTTCGAAATACGCGAGTTATTCGCAACTAAAGTCCTTAGAACATCGTCATCAAGGTCAGAAGGCCGTCCACTGCGAGGTTGATCTTCGAGGTTAAAATCTCCAGAACGAAATTTCGCGAACCATTTCTTTACTGTGCGGAGTGCTGGAGCACGGTCCAAATAAACTTCGCGAATATCTTTAGTTGCACCGCCTACTGTTTTTCCCTTGCGGAACTCGTATAACATAATATGACGCATATGAACTTTTTTGCGTCTTTTCACTAAGCAACTCAAATCAAAATGAAGTTATTTTATGCTTGATTTACAGTTCGGACTGTCACCTTTCCAACGATATACAATATAATATGTATATATTTCTTTTACGAGCGCCACTCTCAAACGATTCGAACGGCATCCAGCCGAATCGGGCACGAACTTATGCACTCATATAATATGTGTATTCGTATGTAAACAACTAAACTAAACGACGTAACCAGTCGAAATCCATCAGTCAATCTAGTTATCATTAAACTGTCATAACATATTTCTACATACTAGACATACATATGTATGTATGTATGTATCGTCATCACATAGTATAGAGTCCGCACAGTGCACCACGAGTTCGTTTGAGATTGTAAAAGAAAATTTTAAATGAAAAATGCGAAAATTTTGATTACAGAAGAGTAATTAAAGACAAATAGGGTTATCTATTTTGCGGTTTCGAAATATGAATTAAAATATTTTTTTTTGCTCATGAAATTACTTTTTTTACTTATAAAGTTTGAACCGCAGCATCATTCAAGTGACCGCCTCGCGAGTTTTTGTAAACTTCAATCCGTTTGTGGTGATTTTCGACCACTTTTGGCACACATTGGGAGGTAACTCAGCCACAGTTTGACAAATGTTAGTTTTCAAGAGCTCAAGAGTAGAAGGCTTATCCGCATAAGCATGGTCTTTCACGTAGCCCCACAAAGAAAGTGTCAGGCAGGATCTCGGTGAGCAATTGACATCACCAAGACAAGAGATTTCACTCGTAATAAAACCATATTCGCTCATGTTGTGTGGCATGTGGCACCATCTTCTTGTAATCACATGTTATCCAAGTCGTGTTTTTTTATTTCAGGCCCAAAAAAAAATCGGTTATCATACAACCATTACGCTTCGAATCTACAGTAACATCTTCACTGTTGCCGTTTCCAAAGAAGTAAGGTCCACAAGTACATGCTTAAACAGGTCTTTATCAGGGAAGCTGACTCATGATGGTTGAACGAGATCACGTGTAACATGACCAGACAGCTATGACCGAAGTTGGACGCGTGAAAATCTGAACATTTTATCTTTCTGGACCGGTTCTCCATTGACTTAACGACTGATATATCAGCTGGACAGTGTTTAGTGGGGCTTTAGGGGATTAGGATGGGCTTTTAGTGTAACGATTTCTGCCGCGGTTGTAAGGACGAAAAAAAGGAGGAGACCAGCAAGCACTACATCTACCACTGTCCAGTCTTGATATCCGCGCGACACAACTTGCTTGTTAAACAATTCTTCGACTGACTCGCTGAGTTGGACTCAGTGAACTTTGGAAGTTTCGTTGCCTTTATAAGGCACACGAAATGGTTCGATTATTTGAAAAGGCGAAGGCAGGTGCCTCAGTTGTATCATAATGGTCATAAGTATGCTAGGGTTGACCAGCAGCCGCATTAACTCAACTGAACTCAAAGTCCAATTACACCCCCGGACCAAGGAGGACGCCAGACCGTAGTTTTTTTCAATTATTTAGAGTTTCTCGGAGCCCCAAATGCAAATATTTTGCTTATTTACGTATTCCCAGTGTGAGAAATGTGCCCTATCACTGAAGAAAATATTGTTCGCCGTCCACTGCTTCTTTTTCAAGCACCCAATCGAAGTACGAGGCGGCGGATAAGCTCGTGGCCTAAAGTAGCCTTATGTATTTTATTTTTCAATATAGTCTCCCTCAAGTAAAACTCACTTTTCACATCGTGACCACAATGGCTTTACACAACTGAAAAATATATTCTTTATTTTGAAAATGGATTTCTACGGCCGTTTTCATCTGATTGTCGTCTGGAAATCATCGTTGCGGTAAATCTTTTTTTAATTTGAAAAAAAAAAAACGGAAAAGTCTTTGGGAGCCAGGTTCGTACTGTACGATGGATGGTCAATTTCAGTAAGTCCAGTAGCTTATATGGCAGCCCTAGCAACTCGAGCGATGTGAAAGGCTGTGTTATCTTGAAGAAACAGCATTCCGCGCACTTATTTGCCACGCCTCTTTCTTTTTTGGTGGCCTTTCCCCTTTCTACTGCATCGGCTTTTGTTCGGACTCGGGATCATACTGACGAATTCAAGTTTTATCCACTGTTACACTGCGGTTCGCAAATTTCATGCAAATCATCTTGGCAAAACTCCAAAAAATTCTTTAAAACTCTCCAATCGTTGCTACTTGAAGAACGTCCTGGGCATTCACGGTAACGAACAAGCACTCATTTTTACCCAAATGTTCATGCAAAATCCTTCCAGCTCGTGCTCGGCTAATCTATAATCCTTTTGCTTTCTGCCACAATTTAATTCTTCGATCAGCCAGTACTAATTTTTTGAATTTCTGATCGTTTTCTTCGGCCGCCACTGGGTCGTCTTTACAGGTCTCTTTTCCTTGTTGAAACAGCCGAGCACATTTTTTCACCGCGCATATTGTAACAGGTTAAACTCCTACCCATCCAGACTCGACTACATGCAATGAGTCCCCGCACTAACCCGTAAAACCGACGCATCTAACCCCATCTACCTCTCCCTCTGGTCCGAACCCGTCGGAACAGCTCGTTTCGTGGATATCCGGTTAGGTGACCTAAGTCACCGAGTCTGTTTGTTCCTAAGCGGGACTAGTTTACCGCTACAACAACAACAACAACAAGAGCAGAGTGTAAAGAGCCGCTTACATCTATTTAAAACTTTCTTGCGTCGAACTTCTGTTTTTTACAAGGAATTAAATCACAGCGCGATACTCCAAATTATAAGAAATTTCCAGTTACCGTTGATATAATGTTGTTGCTTATTCCAGAAATGAAATGTTAATGAGACTAATAAAAAAATGTGTCCCACAACTACCTTAGGTCGCGAACTTGGCAGCCGTCCCTCGTATGTGCGATGAATGTGAATGTGAATGGTCATGATAAGCTGGCTACAGTTGTTATGTGTGCTAGACTTTATATGGA